CTAAACCCCCGCTTCTCCTGCCCCCCGGGGCCCGTCCTGCCCTCTGCCTCCCGCTGCTGACTGCGCTAGCTTGCCCCCCGAAACCCCTACCTCTTTTTGGTGTGGGAATCGCCCCGAAGAGCACCTCAACACCCTGAAAAGCAACGCTGGTCTTCCTGTTACTATGCAAAATTGTAAGCAGTTTGCACGCCCTGCGCCCTTTCGTGACAAGCGGTCCCTACGCTGTGCTGGGCAACAAGGAAAAACATCCTTTAAAGGCAGGTACTTAGGAGTACTATCGTAATTTATTCACCTTGTGCAACTATTTCAGTGGAAGGTAGTGGTTGCAATCTGTTCTGGAAGGAGGTTCCCCACTAGCCAAGTTTTCCTTTACGTGACCTTCGTGAAGGTTTCTTCATATCACTGCTCCTCATACACATTCCCCCTGTTTAAAAGAAAGTGTAAAAAGTTGATCAGTTTTAAAATAGATATATTCTCAGTTCACTCAGAAGTTTGGGACTATGAGAGTTATGTTTCCTTTAACAGGATATCTATAGTATCCTAAAGTGACCAGAAGTGACCTAATAGACTCCAACTGTTTACAAAACATATGGAAGGAATTTTTTTGTTGTTACCACAAAAGCAATCAGACAGGTATGTAACAGCATACGTAGCTGTAATGCATTAGCGAGATGTAAATCAGCCTTCACAGGGACTGGCTCATGTCTGAAAGATTTATGGGTTCTGCTAATAAAAAGTAGAAGTGAGCAAAAACCACAGTAGATAATTAGAACATGAAGTTTCTTCTGGGAAAATGGCAGGCTACGGGGCACGGTTGCAAGTAGGTTAGTCCCTATCAGCACAATCACCACCCAGTTGTATCTTCATTTCACAAACATAGTTTTTAGAATTTAACAAAGTGCTGTTTGTTTGCCTCATGTTTGTGTATGAATTTCCCAGGCTTGGTTTAAGTTTTGATGAATGACGCATGAAAACTGTCCAAATGTACTTAATTTCATTTAATAAGTATCTGCAGCTCTGATTCTATTTTTAAGGAGGTTATTAATTTCCATTAAAATCCCCGTTGGCAGGTTTTTCACAGTCCTCAAGGAACACTCATTTCTATGTAAAATACAGCTTGTGACTTCCTCTCAGCAGAGCTGATTTATTTACCCTATTAAATTAATATTAGGAAAATCTAACTTTTTGATGTTTTTTTAATGAAAGCATAATTGGTAGGTGACATTGTCTGGAAACTCCTGAAACGGACATGAAACCTAGAAGCCCATACCTGCGCAAGCAAACTTCACTTAAATGACAGTATCAATCTTCTCTTACGGGTTTTTATTCTGTGCACTTGCCCTGCGAAGGACTTTCTACTACATTTGATCACATTCAGTTAGACAATAAATCAATACTGAGGTTTGATTTCTGGATATTTGAGCCTTTGAGACCATAACAAGGTTACAACAGCATTTGAAAACTCCTTACTAGAATGAGTAGATTTCACAAACTTCGTATTTCTCATCTGGGTGTTTAAAAATCTGGCATTTAGGAACTTTCTATGACATTTTATGAACTTTGGATAGCCTTAGTGACAACTTTCCGGAGGTCCAGACCCAAACTCAGTAGGTTTGGCTTTACTGACTTCTTTTCTGCAGCTTTAACTAGACAAGGAGAAATGCAGTGGTCTGTGTGTACACTCAGTGTATATTGATATTGATTGATATTGATATTGATATATTGATTCATTAATAACTTAAACTAGGCAGCATCCCTGTCGATGTAGTTTTGTTTTTCAGTGAGTCTTCACAGTACTGAATTCACTATGTAACCATTTTTTATCCTGATTTATTATTATGCTGTAGACATTGAGATTAATCTACTTTCTGCTCCCAGCCTTCCAGAGCCCTGATGATCAGCTGTGTTCAAGAGCAGCTACTGTCACTGACACTGGTGAAATAACAAAGGTCAAATGGAGATGGTTAGAAAAACACCTAGAGTGTCAAGCTCTGATATGCTGTTATATTAAGAAAATTGCTACCAGTATATCATTTGTAACATAAGCAAGTAATTGAAACATTTTGTGTCTCCTCTGCTCTTTCTTGGGCTGAGTGCCTTGACATTCAACCCTTACCTTGCTACAGTTCTGGACAGCTTGACCTCCTCAATCATGAGCATTCAAAGGGTGCTAATATACTTTCCCCCATTGCTCTCAATAGTATGATCTTTCCTGGATCCAGACACACCTCACTTCTGAGACCACTTCTGCTACTTATGTTCCCCCTCTACAAGAAGGAATGAGTATCTTCAGATAGTTTCAAGCTCTCAGTCTACTGCTTGATTTTGCAAGTGAAACTATAAAGGAAGAATGAAAGAGAATGCTACCAGAAATCAAAAGTGTGGGTGACTAAATGTGAGAAGTCAAAACCAGCAACTGTAATACCAGTAATATCTTTGTATGGTGAAATGTATTTCCTGCGTCATGTCTCGAAGGAAAATCACCAAGTAGAATATTCAAAGTTGTTAACAACAGCATCCAGAAAAAGTGATCGTTTAAACTTTCTCGGGTAATGAAAAATAAGAAGGGTGAGATCCTCCTCAAGCACAGTATCATACCTTTTCCCATATTCAGATATCTGCTTGGCTTAGAAGTTTGACTTGACACCGAAACGTTACTGAGGCAGAAGCTGCCACCCACCCTAGCCCTAACAAACCCTGTGCTAACATCCTCTTGAGGAATCACAAGGAGGAAGAAGGACTGATGGTGCGGCTTGCTAATGGCAAGCAGCAGAATTCTGAAGAAAATTGTTTTCTGGTATATTTATAGCTAACTACCAAGAATATGTTGAAATTCATGCTGAGCATGAGGAAGATTTGAATCAAAGTATCACATGCAATTCAGGCAACAAGGAACTCTACAGGGAAGCTGAAGACTTAGAAAAGCTAAAAGAGGGTTTGGAGGACTTTGTCAATGACAGAGCAATGACTGCTCCAGCAGTCTCAGCACCTTTGAATAGCTGAAAACAAAGTAAAGGAATTACACAAAGACGAAGCTGGAAAAACGATTCAGAGAAGTTGTGGAACCTTCCCATTATTGAGCAACACGACCGATCCCAGTTAAAAGGTCTTAGATGTAGCATAAAACAGGAAGAAGCTGAAAGGGGCTGATGGAAATACAATACTGAACTCCTCCTTCATTCTTTTCTTATCCACGGTGATCAAAGGGTTGTATTGCTGTTCTGGTGACACGGAACATTCAAAAAATACAGAATCACAGAAGATACTTGATAGCTGTGCTGATTCAAAAGGATCTGAGCTCCTAGCGATCTCATTTGGCTTAAAACAAACTTGGGTTTAGCACTTTTTTCAAAACTCGTGAACAGGACAGTTACTGGAAAAGGAAGCAAGCTGTTTAGAGTACATGGCATCTGTGGACTGATGTCACCTTTTATCCTGGGGACTTTTAAGTCAGAAGCTGAATTACTTGGATTGAAACTGTTTTCATTATCATGGGCTTGGTCTAGGGATGATGTAATGTTTATGGACAGAGGAACTGCCAACAAACATGAACTGTATTTACAGACTTGGCAATGACACACTTAAGATATCCGGGATGTGTGCCCCCAACCTCAGATGCTGTGAGACATTGCCTAAGTAACAGCACAGATAAGAAGGCATTGCTTTTTCTGACAGAGGAACTGTAATGAAGAGCTGCAGGTAAAGTTTCCTGGCACTGTATTCATTTGGCAGTTCTTGTGATAAAATCCAATTAAATGCTTGTTTTTCATTGTTCTCTATTTTTTTGTGCAGTGCCAATAACCTTTGACCCAAACCCCGTCCTCTAGCAAGACCCACTTTCTCGGGGGAATATGCGCATGTGGGAGGAATTGGGTTACTGCTTTCCAGTTCACAAATGGAAACTGCTCTGACTCAGTCCCAGGGTAAATACAAGCAGTGCTTTCCCTATCATAAGCAACTCTGATTTACATAAGCAGGCTATCCTCCCCAAGAGACACTACACCAGTTCAGAACTGACAGATGCTGTTCTGCTCCACCTTAGTCCAGGAAATGCTTTTGTAAAAACTTGTACTGCCAAATTTTACCCCAGCAGAGAATTCCCTCAGGATAGGGGCGTCATCTGATTGAGATGATTAAGGAGTCCAAAGAGGCAGGATCATCAAAAGAGAGAAAACATTCCTTGTATTTATTTTAAAAACTAAAAGACGACTGTTAAAAGTCGAACTGGCCAGTACTATCATGCGGGGTGAAGACATCCAGCTCAGCCCAGCAGAAGGCAAAATCATCTGGAGGGCAGAGTCAAGCATAGAGAGGTTTGCATATTTATAAAAATGGTCTGTTACACTCATGCTCATTGAGCAGATCTGTGAAATTTGGTGAAAAAAAAAATGGTCTCTTCATAGCTGGGGAAAACATCTGGAGCATAGAGATGCCATTTCTCTGAAAGAGTTTTCAGCACTTGAAATCTTGCATCCTATTACAGATTTAAACTCTAGATCTTAACCACTTGATTGACCTCCTGCTTGTAAGAAAAAAAAAAAGAAGAATTGTCTTTCAATGGCCGACCTCAAGAAAAATTGCAGGGAGAATACATTTTTTCTTTCCCTTTTTTAAAATTAGGAGTGCTCAAAACTGGGGTTACAATACAATCCTAGTGTCTTGCCCTGCCTACTAGATGTATGTCTTTTGTAGTATTGCATCCACACTCAAGTTGCCGATGCAGCTTCCTTGTGACCTCTCACGGTGCTCTAAGTTTCTCACAACATGTAATGGAGGTATGAATGTTTTTATCTCATAACTGCAAAATTTTCATACAACCATAAAGAAAAACAAACATTTAAGAAATGCAGCTTATGATTACAGACCACACAAGAAACATGTGGGCAGCAGTTCCTCATCAGAAACTCAGAGGAAGAAAAGGCTCTGTGTGTCTGGGCAGGGAGGAAGAAAGAGAGGAAGTAAGTCATAATAAAAATATTATCAAAAGCCTGATGAAATCGATATTATAGCTAGCAAATCTAAACTAAAAATATACAAGTTCTAAACAGTCATCATGACCAGAGAAAAGGTTTCCTAACAGTGATATCCATAGAGACCAATGTTCTCTAAAAAGAAAACTATCTCTTTGAGTTCCTTCCAGTTGAGACTCTTCAGAAGTAGTTAGGGAAGAGCAGTGTCTCTCAGCAGCTCTCACACCGAAAAGGAAATAACACTCCCACATAAGCAAAATCTAGCAAAGGTTAAGTGCAAGTCCGCTCCGATATCTCTTAGAAGAAAGAAAGTCTAACAAAAAAAGAACAGTCAGAAACAAGTTTTTGAGTGATTACAGTACCTTTGGAGAAAACTCCAGGGCTGATGTGGTGTCTTCATCACTAATGCACTACAGATCAGGAGATAATGGCATGGCAATACCATACTGAATGTAACAAAACTTTTTACGCCAAATTGCTGCTAGTTCTAGACATGCCCTCGTAATTACAGTTCTAGATATAAGGCGAGAGCATGTGGTCGTGTCTGTGATAAACTGAAGTTTGGTTACTTTCATCGTACCTGGACGCAGCTGACACTACATTAGATGAACAGCTGTACGTAACATACCAGCGTAGTGCTACCGCTGAAAGGATGAATGCAGTCTTTGAATGTGTATACTTGGAAATAAGGAGTAACAGTAGGGAAAATGTTACCTTTCATCTATAGCATTAGTAGGTTTGCAATGGAACATGATGGATGGATGGATGGATGGATGGAGGCATGTATGTTCCAGGCTTACATTGTGGAAGCAGTATTTAAAAATCTGGGAGGGCAGAGAAAAGTACCAAATTATTTAAGAGCTACAGAAAAACAATTCAGTGAGAGACTTGCAACAGCACTCTGCAACCAGAGATGAGCTTCTCTGTCTTCACACGGTGTACGCCAGTCTCAAGCCAACTCCAAAGCAAAAAGGTGATACCTAGCTTAGGTTCCACCTCACAGCCACACTTCTATAGCTTTGGAGAAGGTGGCTTGTGCTAGTAGCTTGGGGAACATGTAGAGCAAGCCTTAGTCAGCCTGAGAAATGCAGTGCTGACACTTCTTCAGGGCTTGGTATGTTTGCTCTCTGACTTGATGACTGTGCACAAGTGTAGGCACATGAAAATTCTGCATACTGATAGCCGCCTTAAGCCTTAAACAAACCAAGGGGTGGAAGCATAAACAAAGCAAAGTATTTACACTAATGAGTTAAAAAAAAAAAGACTACCACAGGATATTGTGGATACTGAAAGTTTACGTGAATTGATGGGGAGAGTGAAGAATGAGCTCAAGGAAGGGAAATCTATTGAAGGTGACCAAATACATACGAAACACTAAAACTGCATCCAGCTTAGGAGGATCCTGAGCTGGAAAATGGTCAGAGTATTAATATTCAAATATGAAGTGGTATTGCACAGGGGAAATACACATTTTTATCCTGCTACACGCTTCTTTCAATACTGGATTAGGGTCCATGCGGGAGGCAGGATGCTGGGCTAGGTGGACATTGGATCTGACATGGGAAGACCCTTATTCTGATGTGATGACGGAGACCAGGAATGTGTGCCATGCTGGAAGGTACTTGGGAGTCCAGGGGGAAGAAAATTTGTGCAGGAAAACAGAAGCAGACTAGTTGATCTAGTGATCCTTTCTGACCTTAAATTCTGGAAATTGCCATACACTGGGAGTACTGAAGCAAGCAAAGCATGAGCTTGTGATGATTAAGCGCCTTGTTTGAGCATTAGTGGGGTTAACTGCTGTAATGCTGATTGCAGAAATGCTTTTCATCATTAAAATGTGGTGTCAACAAATAAATAATTGCAAACACGTTCAAAGTCTCTGAGAACACTTTGGCAATGTTGGTACTAATACAGGAGGAGGAGAATATCCACTGCGAAGCCAAGTCAAGCAAAACAGCAGATTTCTTCAGATAGATTTTTGAAAACGAAAGAAGAGTCAGGCTTGGTTTTGCATTCCAGAACAGCATTTGATCCCCATGAACGTACTGTATTCTTGCAACACGCCTGCTACGTATTGCATTTCATACAGAAGACGGGCCAATATATTTGGAGGAAATTAAATTCCTTGTTTAAGATAAAACTGGATTTTGCTTTTAGTATCATTATGGAAAGGACATACAGATAAAAGAGCTGAAAGCACCAGAAATCTGCTGAAGTATGTCACCATTGTGCTTGAGAAAGACGGAATTTGACAAGTAACAATAGACTTCAAAGGACAGCCAACAAAGTCCCATTCTTCTGAGACTTATGCCTAGGAAAAGAAAGTAAAAGGAAAACTTCTAGAGGAGGGAATAATGAAAACGCTTCTTTTTCCAGACAAACTCTAAATCAGGTACTTAAGGGAAAAAAGCCCCACTTTTAAAGACTGAACAGGCTCATTGATTTCTTCATGAATTAAGTAAGCAATGCTTAGAAAGGTCCTTCGGATACATGGTAAATGGCACCCTTCTCATTTTTGGAGATCATATATTGTTTCTTTGCCCAGATACTTTTTCAGACTTAAGGTTTACAGTCACTCTAGCCGCAACTAAAAATTACACTACATCTAGTTAGATTTACAAAATAGTTCCAGGTTTCTGCAGACATTATCTCTACACAGACTTTGAACAGGGTTCAAAGATGGAGAGATGTGCCGCAATGCTAAACATGGCAAAAGCTGACTTTGAGGGCAGTTTTATCTGGCACATGGCAATGCAACAGAGATATAAGACCTAAGACAGCCAGATCAGATAGCAAAAAAACCCCTCCAGCATGACAGCCCTAATCTGAAAGGAGGAAAAGAATTAGCTTGCACAGACTTCGCTCTACCATGGCAGAAATGCTGCTGGTAGAGTTTGCTGTTGGGCCTATAACTGTGAACTATTAGGTGACTCATGAGAGTCTGATTTCTTTTATTTATTATTTCATGGAAACCAGGCCAAGGTGGAGAGACCTGGGGCAGGCCTGAAGCCATATTGCTACACAGAACTGATCTGTGGGTGGGACGTACCTCCCAGTTCTCCTGCAAGGGCAGAGACGGATGTTGTGTGTCTGAGCTGTACGCTACTGCTGATCCACCTGTAACCAGCTCCTGGAATGGAATCTGGAACATATGGACAGGTTCTGTACCCATATGCATTGTGTGGGTACAGTTAGATGACAATTGCTTGGGATCCTCAAAAACCAGCATACAAGAGCTACCAAGGGCTAGCCAGTAGACCAAAGACTATGGTGATGAAGTGCTTAACTTGTGCGATCAGGAGGTGGTAATTCTTGCTTTGGGTGTCTTAGCCCAGAATCCTCTCCAAAATAAGCCTAAATTATTTGAAAAGCTAGCAGTACTGACTCTTGCTGCTACTTCGCCTTTCTCTACAATGGTCAGAGCTCTGGCCAAGCCCCATGGGAAACTTGCCACCGCTCCTTCCTTTGACATCCAAATGTCAACTGGGTGGCCAAACCACCAAGACTATGAGAGGAGGGTTACTCTCCTTCAGACTAAAGCTGTATTACTTTTCACAGAAACAATAAAAAATGTTAGAGGGAGAGAGAGAGAAGAATCCTGGGTTCTGTTCCCTGATGAAAGGGAACTTTCTGTACTTCTTCCCACTGCCTTTGGTGGGGCAGGGCTCAGTTATACTGCCTGGAGATCTAAGCCATCACAGCTTGTGCTAGGACTGAAAAACACTTTTGCTGATCTCAAAGCAGAAACACATGCTAGAGTCATAGGTACTTCTGTGGCACGACTTTACTATCAGAAATATCTGTAGGCTGTCAGCGCAGATTTCACCAAGCAATGGGAATGCTTTTAGCAGCAACTATGTAACTGAGGGCTTAACAAAATATGAGGCTACTCCATGTGGTCATTGGAATTGAACAGGGGAAGAAGAGAAAATTGAGTGTAATGCATGCTGTTTATGTTACTAGAAGGTAACAGTTGCTGGCCCGTCTGAGACAGAAATAAAATAGGTTTCCATTAAAATACTCTTATTTCCATGGCCTGACACCTTCTGCATTGGATGCGTAACATTTTTTACTATAATGTGAATTTCATATGCTGAGCCTGGGTGTACAGGCAAAGGCCTTCTGGCTGCACTGATTTCTCTGACTATACTCAACTTCTACATTTATAATTTAGTGCAAGCAATTCAATATCTCTCACAATAATTTTTTTTCCCATTTAACAGGGCAGATAGGTAACAGTTAAGATGCCTGAATTTAAGGGACAGAAAAGACTGCCTGGTTATCTAATCTTATTCCTGCCAAGAATTTTACTCCTGTACGAAGCCAATAACTTCTGGCTGAATTAGGTCAAAGCATTGTTCTGCTCAAGTCATCCGTCTCACATCTGTATGGTTTCTCTGTTTTGGCCAATGATCTTGATGGAAAATCAGGTGTCAAATGGATCATCTTGGATACCTTGAAGAAATACGCATGCTGCTTTTCACTTTGGACTTCACTTTTTTGTCTTCTACACTTCTATATCTGCTGACTTGGCAGCACTCTGTTTTCCCAAACTGATCCATGCTTTTTCTGAGGAGACATAAAGACTGGGAGCATGATCATGAAGGGTGCCTCTGGACTATCCCATCTGCTTTTGGACTTCCTGATACAGAGGAGAAGTAAAGATTGTAGTATGACTGACTAACCTATGATTCAAACATGTCCTTTTCAAATGCTACAGGATAAAGGCTTGTTAATGCATGCAGTTAAATTTGCATCATATGCGACAGTTGTGGTGCTGTTCTTGCCTTTGTGAGGTAGCAATCTGGGCAGAGCTGAACAGAGTCAGGACCTGGAGTAAGAACCAAGACCTTCAAATCAGGATGTGAAGCAGAGAGGTGTTTGGTTTTATGGTTATGATTTGGGAGGGGTGAGAAGAAGCACAGATTCAGGGGTCCTGGTTTGTGGTTCTTGACTATTTTGAAATTTTGACATTTCACTTATGAGTTTGGTTGTGTCCGACTAGGGAGAGATTTTTAGATACACATCAACAACACCTCCTCAAAGCAGATATTGAGGCTCTTCAGCCACCGTACTCTGAAAAGTTGCCTGATTTTGGGGGTGCAATAGAAGTATTTATTTCCTTGTAAGGCTGCAAAATGTCTTGGCAGGGATATTGGCCAGTCATTGGGCTAACAGTCTAATAGGTCCTTGCAACTCTGTTGCCCATCAGAAATGCCTTCTGGTCTTCTGTCACAGAGAATGAGTGGTATAGACCTCATCCTGACCAGAAGCAGCATCAGTGAATTTTACCATATGAATGCACATAAAGAGTCTTTGCCCCCTTTTCCTGTATCACAGTGTAAAACTTCTTGGGACACATGGCACTGACTAACTCCAAAGCTCACAAAGCAATGCACTCAAATGACATTTACTTTACTGTTTCCGCATCTGCTGTGAAAACCAAACTCCTTCAGAACTCTTATTATCAGTTGTTATTAAACAAACGTCATTTGTGTACTGCCCACTTCCACGGCTTTGGAGAAAACGAGGCTTGTGCTAGTAGCCTGCAGCTAGAAGCTTCCACCCAAGTTTCACAGAGCTTTTTGATAAGGCCAGAGTCTGACATCACTTTAAATCCCATCCCTGTTGTCGTCAAGGGAAAATTCTGATTAACTTCATGAGCGTCTGGATTTCCTACACTGTACATACAAATGTGTACGGCAGCTTTTTTTGAACAGAGGCAATGCAGGGAGTTGCAGTAAAGGAGAGATGAAAGAAAGCTACAGGATAAGAGGAGAGCTCTCCGGTGAAGAGATTTGTCTTTGACTGACAGAATCAGAACGTTTGTTGTTCGCATGCCATTCCCATAGCAAAGGGTTGGCTTTTGGGTCTTACTGTCTAACGCTTTAAAATATGGGTCGCAGAAATAATAGTTTATCTCCAGAGCTTAGGGCCTGTTCTTCCAATCTACTTATGAGAGAGGGAGAGAGGAAAGCAGAACTGCAAGGAAAAAAAAAAAAAAAATTGCAGTTCTCTGACAGGTTGATAGTCTGAAACGATTCGAAGTCCAGGATCTTTCCAGCAGTTTGAGATCCACATGGAAAGCTTACTCTGCTCTTTAAATACTCCTGGAGAAATCAGTGTCCAGAAAAACAACAAACAGCTTGTGCTAATCTATGAATGTGTACATGTAAAAGAACTTCAATACTATTAATTAATGCAGATCATGTTGTGACAGACAACATAACAGCATGGAGCTGCTTGTCCAACTTACGTGGATTTGTATGGAAAGGTTGTGGTTTCTGGCGTGTTTCCGAGTGAATTAAAAAAGGCTGTCAACCCGTCTGTTTTAGCCAGAGGCATAGCAATGGCAGCTCATGAAACATCGCACCTGAAAAGCATTTATGTGACACATCTTTCTTCTCCCTCTGCCACACAGTGCAAAATCTGTAGAACTACTGGATTTTTTTTCAGCTTGTTTTGCATTAAATAAACTGACTTAACCAATCATGAATTCCTGCCATCCTCGTTGATGAGGTATAAGAAACTGGAAAATACCAAATGTGCAGTGCAGAACAAAGGACCTAGCCAACTCTTTCTTGCATTAACACTCAATCACCCATATACAATACTGAACCAGTCTTGTAATTCTTTCAAAGCCAAAACTGCCGGTTAGCATCCAAGGAGCATTTTAGAATGAGGACAGAGAAAAAGTTACAGAATTGTCAACACTGTCTAAGGAAAACACAGCATGTATGGACCTGATCCTGCAGTTACATGCAGATTTAAATGCTCTGGTCACGGGACTAGCCCCACTCATAATGCCAACACCTATGTACGTAAACTGAGTGTTTGCTTAATTAACTGCAGAAGGCAGGCAAAATCTCTATCCATTCACTGTATTGTCACGTGGTTACAAGTGCTGGCAGAAGGAAGCGGGCAGGAATGTATGGTCCAGGCCAGGGAAGGAGCAGGGTCCCTTCCCACTCAGTGACAGCTCAGTCATAGATCAGGTTAAACTGGTCGTCAAATCCTGAACTGCTATAAAGTAATTCTTCTTCAGTGAAAGGAACTAGTCATTGCCTGTTCTCTCACAAAACAACACTGAGACCAAAAACGAAGCAGAAAGAACAGATGATGACAATTCCATTGAAAAGTAAAACAGCAGGCATAAAAATGCCATGTCCCAAGAAGGCTAATAAGATCAAATACAATGAAAATGAGCTCATTTTTAAATGGCTATTTCCAAGGATGTAAAGTGGTATAAAATGACTTCTCAGCTTCTGTTCATGGGAAAGAAACACCCTCCTAACTGCAATGCTGCAGAATCTCAGTAGGGATAAACAGCAAAATCCCTGCAAAACCCATACAAGATATGGACAAAAAAAAAAAAAAAAAAAAAAAAGAGTTTAAAACTGTGGGAAACAGCCTATTTGAGTCCCTGAAGGTATTCATTTTCAAATAGTTCTACGAAACATGAAGAAGCTTTGCCCCAATCTAAAAAACAAACAAAATGTATAGGAAGAGACTTCTAGAATTGCTTGTTTCCTTATAACTCAACTGGCAAAAACTGGCAGTGATGGAACCAGAACTTTTAGGGGGGAAAAAAAAAAAAAAAATCTCATCTTCAGTATATGTCAGCAGTGTCTTTCCTGACAAAGGGGGAAAAAAAAAAAAACCCCCCAAAAACCCAAAAAAAAAAGGAAAAAAAAAAAAAAAAAAAAAAAAAGAGTTTAATTAGTTTAATTCTACTTTAAAAGAAATTGCAAGATTTCCTTTCATGTTTTATTATACCCTTCTTCAGCAGCCAGCTGCCCCTAATATCCTCTTGCAACAGGATACTACAGGATGCCGAAACCCCCAGTAAGTAGGATCTGGATCCAGTCATCTAAGCACATCACTGTCTCTACGGTAACCTAGGCCAGCCCTAAATACTATAATCCTGCTTTACTATAGTAAAGCCAGTTAATGGCTTTCATTGAATGTTCCTGCCAAATAATGGTGCTCTAATATTTATTGACGTTTCAAATCTGTCCACCTATTTGGACTACTTGTTACACTGAAAAATGATGCAAGCAAAGCATTCATAGAAGAAAGGAAGCGATTAAGGATTTCAGTCTTTTGATACTGTCAAGGCGCAGTCCTGCGAACTCCAGCTCCTATGAGTGTCACCATTGACTTCAGTGCCACTACTGC